TAATAGTACAGAGACTGAACTCATTTCTTTCTGTTTCTAAAGCTCATTGTTCATCTGTAGTACTATATAGAGCAATTCATACTTGATTTAGTAATTTATAGTATTTGTAACCAGCATAAGCCTAAGTAACATACTCCTTGAGTTTCCTAAGGGTTAGAATGAAAAAATTGTAACTCTTTTCATTTTATTTCTGTTGTTTACTCAGAATGAAAATGACTTTGCCCTTCGGGTATCTTTCTGAATTTCCTGTGTGTGTTGTTTGTATGAAGTGACATGCAGAAATACTGAAGCCAGTTACTGATTTAGGTTGAGAAGAAATTATGGGGCTTTGTAGGGTAGATGCTGGACATAGCCCTATTCCCCCCATCCCTTGCATACCAGAGTTCCCCTCTTTCCTCCTTGGGGAGGCTGCCCCAGGTTGTTACTCAAGTAAAGGCACATCTCCTTTAGATAAATAAAGATGCTGAAAGAAGCAGGACATGAAGTACATGAAAGTGATTTACATTAGCTGGTGAGGGTACTGCATGTGAAAGTGATTTTCATTCTGTTAGCTATACAGCTGCTGTGTGTACTCCGTGGCAGTGCAGGCCTCTTAGGAACTGTCTGCCAATAAGTCTGATAAACCAATGTCTGTCTACCTGCTGGATCTCTAGGTGATTTCTGTGGAATAGGTAAACATTATGCAAGTGCCTTCTCAGATTTGGGGCTCCCCCGTTACAGGCTTGAATAATTAAAGCAAGAAATTATTGTTTTGAAAGAAAAAAAAGGACATTTTCCATTCCGCTAAAAGGTAACATGCGTATTTTCTTCATCATAAAAAATACAGCAATATTTCTTTATGACATTTCTAAAATCAAAGATTAAAAGACTAGTTGAGTTTTATTGACATGTTTTGCTCTGAAATGATTTATTAACATTGTGTTTTGTATTTATTTCCAGAATGAGTAAGGTATATGGGGAAAATGGAAATTTTTTAACTTAAGGATATTTATATGTTGTTCACAATGGTTAGTACCTTAGTACTCCTTGTCTGTATCTAGGTTTTGTAAAATAAGTTCCGTAGTCTTAGGAGTTGTAAGTTTTTCTTTTGTTACTTCTCATTTCTTTTACCTTCACATTATTGTTAATATATTCCATGTATCTATATTGAATTTTCTTTTCTC